GGTGGAGGGTGGTATTGTGTGGGGTTGTTTATTTTTTATTTTTATTTTTTGTTTTGGGGGTTTTTTTTTTATTTTTATTTATTTTTATTTTTGGTTTTTGTTTTGGGTATTGTGTATTTTTTTTGTGTTAAAATTTTAAAATTTTGGTTTTTTTTATTGTTTTTTTTTTATTTTTATTTTTTATTTTTATTTTTTATTTTTTTTATTTATTTTTTTTTTTTTTATGGGGGTTTAAAATTGGGTTTATTTTTATTTTTTATTTTTTTATTTTGTTTTTTTTTTAAAATTATATTTTTTATTGGGTTTATTGTTTTTTTTTTTTATTTTTTTTATTTTTTTTTTTATTTTTATTTTTATTGGTTTTTTTATTTTTTTTATTTGTTTTTATTTTTTTATTTTTATTTTTTATTTTATTGTAGGGGATTTTTATTGTTTTTTTTATTTTTTATTTATTTTTAAATTTTTTTTTTTTATTTAATTTTGGATTTTTATTTTTTTTTTTTTTGGGATTTTTTTTTTTTTATTTGTTTTTTTTTTATTTTTTTTTTTTTTTTTTTTTTATTTTTTTATTTTTTTTTTTTTTTTTTGGGGGTTTTTTTTTTGGTTATATTTTTTTTTTTTTTGGGATTGTTTTATTTTTTATTTTTTTTATTTTATTTTTATTTAATATTTTTTATTTTTATTTTATTTTTTTTTTTTTTTATTTTTTATTTTTATTTTTATTGTTTTTTTCATTTTTTTTTAAAATTTTTATTTTATTTTGGTATTTTTTTTATTTTTATTTTGTGGCATTTTATTTTTTGGTTTTTTGGGGTTTTGTATATTTTTTTTTGGGGTTTTTTTTAATTGTGTTATTTCATTTTTATTTTTTAAATTTTGTTATTTTAAAAATTTTGTATTTTTTATTTTTAATGTGGGGGTTTTTTGGTGGATTTTTAAAATTTAAAATTTTAATTTTTATTTTGTATTTTTTATTTTTTATTTTTTAAAATTTTTATTTTTCTTTTTTTAAAAAAAATTTTTATTTTTTATTTTTATTGTTTTTTTTTTTTTATTTTTTATTTTGGGAAATTGTTGTGGGTTTTGTTATTTTTTTTTATTTTATATTTTGGGGATGGGGGAAAATTTTGGGGGATTGTTGGTGGGTTTTATTTTGTTTTTTTTTCTTTTTTTTTTTGGTGTTATTCTTTTTTTTGGGGGATGTTTTTGATTTATTTTGTGTTGGTTTTTGTGTGGAAATTTAGTTTTTATTTTGTATTTTAGTGGGTTTTTTGGTAAATTTTTCCATTTTTGGAGAGTGATTTGGTAATTTTTGGGTTGGGGGGGGGGTTTGTTTTTTATTTTGTGTGGATTTTAAATGGTAAACCCCTTTTGTTTTTTTTATTGGGGTGGTGTTTTAACTTTTGGAAAGTTGGGGTTTGGGGTTACGGAGTTAAAGGGGAAGAGTTTTTTGGGGAAGGGGGTTTTTGAAAGGTTTTGGTTTGTGGGTACCCACTAGTTGGGGTAGGTTATTTTTGTTTCAAGCAAAGGGGGTTTGGGAATTTTTTAAATTCCTTTTAAAAAGAAATGCCCGGGGGCTAAAAACGGCCCCCGGGGCCCGGTTTTGAACCCCTTTTAGGATTTTGAGGGGGGGAAAAAAATGTTTTGGGGGAAATTTTTTGGGGAAATGACAAAAATGTTTTCCTGAAAATTCGTAAAAGAAAAAAAAGGTGGGTTTTAACAGGGGTGGTTTTCCAGGCCCCAGGGCCCCTAGGGTTTTAGAAATGGCCTTTTAGATTTTAAATGTTGGATTTGGGTTTTGGGGGGGTTGACGGTTTGTTTGGTTTTTCTTTTGGGGGTTTGCAAGGGAAGGGGTTCGTTAATTTTAAAGGCTTTCCCTTTTTCGTTTACCGGGAACTTTAATGGTTAACGGTTAACCGGTTAGGAGGTGGGCGGTTGGGGGTTTTTTTAAAAGTTTGGGTGGTTTCGGTTAAAGCAGGGGCTTCCTTTAAAATGAAAATGGGGGTTATTTTACTATTGCGATATTGTGGTGGTATTGTGATTACCTGGAGTTTACCTGGAGAGAGTTCCGGGGGTCAACGCCCCCGCGGCCCGGTCTGTGACCAGGCCTCCTTAGGTCAGTGTCCCAGGATGCGACCCACACCAGTCGACTAACACCCAGGTACCCATTTTACTGATGGGGAACATAGACAACAGGTGGAAAGAAACACGTCCAATGTTTCTACTCTGGCTGGGAATCGAACCCAGGCCCTCGCCGTGTGAAGCGAGAGCGTTAACCACCAGGCCACCAGAGCCCCTACGGTTTTAGTAATGTTGTCCTATTATGATGGTATTGTTGTGGTATTGTAGTGTTGTTGTGGTACTGTAGCGGTATTGTGGTGGTATTGTGGTCGTATTGTTGTGGTATTGCAAGCAAAGTACAGTATAAATAACGTACATTGTAAACAACGTACAAAGCAAACATACAATGTAAACAACGTACGAGATTAGAAGTGGAAGTGATTAACGTAGATGTTAATACAGAATTTCACCGCCAGGGGCCTCCAGTAGGGTATTTAATGAATCCCCTGAGTTGGGACGGGGGGGGGGACCTTATAAAAACCCAATGGGGGGAAAAATCTTTAAAAACCTGTTAAAAACCAGGGAGGTGGATTATGTTTGAGGTGAGAGATTGTTTATCACAGGTGTCTGTCTGGTTTAACTTCTCAACTTGGGGACGTTACTGCAGCGTTGTAAGTGGCCTGGCTTAGACCTGGCTTAGGACTGGCTTGGGTCTGGCTTAGGACTGGCTTAGACCTGGCTTAGGACTGGCTTAGACCTGGCTTAGGACTGGCTTAGACCTGGCTTAGGACTGGCTTGGGTCTGGCTTAGGACTGGCTTAGACCTGGCTTAGGACTGGCTTGGGTCTGGCTTAGGACTGGCTTAGACCTGGCTTAGGACTGGCTTACACCTGGCTTAGGACTGGCTTAGACCTGGCTTAGGACTGGCTTAGACCTGGCTTAGGACTGGCTTAGACCTGGCTTAGGACTGGCTTAGACCTGGCTTAGGACTGGCTTAGACCTGGCTTAGGACTGGCTTAGACCTGGCTTAGGACTGGCTTGGGTCTGGCTTAGGACTGGCTTAGATGTTGCAAATAGGTCACATTCTCAAACTCTAGAAAACTGAGGTGTGAACTCACACTCGAGGTGTGACCTCACACTCGAGGTGCGACCTCGCACTCGATGTGTGACCTCACACTCGAGGTGTGACCTCACACTCAAGGTGTGACCTCACACTCGAGGCGTGATCTCACTTTAAAATTAAGAAAACACTCAAAAAATGTTTCTCTCGCCTCTATCACCTGAAGATGTGTGTCTCAGCACTCGAAAGCGCCCCAGTATTCTCGTTCATTTTGACACAAGAAACTAGCCACTACCATCCACATGATATACACGAGGTACACAATAAACTAGCCACTACCAACCACAGGATAGACACGAGGTACACAATAAACTAGCCACTACCATCCACAGGATAGACACGAGGTACACAATAAACTAGCCCTACCATCCGCAGGATAGACACGAGTGTACACAATAAACTAGCCACTACCATCCGCAGGATAGACACGAGGTACACAATAAACTAGCCACTACCATCCACAGGATAGACACGAGGTACACAATAAACTAGCCACTACCATCCGCAGGATAGACACGAGGTACACAATAAACTAGCCACTACCATCCGCAGGATAGACACGAGGTACACAATAAACTAGCCACTACCATCCGCAGGATAGACACGAGGTACACAATAAACTAGCCACTACCATCCACAGGATAGACACGAGGTACACAATAAACTAGCCACTACCATCCGCAGGATAGACACGAGGTACAACAATAAACTAGCCACTACCATCCACAGATAGACACGAGTACACAATAAACTAGCCACTACCACCACAGGATAGACACGAGGTACACAATAAACTAGCCACTACCAACCACAGGATAGACACGAGGTACACAATAAACTAGCCACTACCATCCACAGATAGACACGAGGTACACAATAAACTAGCCACTACCAACCACAGGATAGACACGAGGTACACAATAAACTAGCCACTACCAACCACAGGATAGACACGAGGTACACAATAAACTAGCCACTACCATCCACAGGATAGACACGAGGTACACAATAAACTAGCCACTACCAACCACAGGATAGACACGAGGTACACAATAAACTAGCCACTACCATCCACAGGATAGACACGAGGTACACAATAAACTAGCCACTACCAACCACAGGATAGACACAAGGTACACAATAACTAGCCACTACCATCCACAGGATAGACACGAGGTACACAATAAACTAGCCACTACCATCCACAGGATAGACACGAGGTACACAATAAACTAGCCACTACCAACCACAGGATAGACACGAGGTACACAATAAACTAGCCACTACCATCCACAGATAGACACGAGGTACACAATAAACTAGCCACTACCATCCACAGGATAGACACGAGGTACACAATAAACTAGCCACTACCATCCACAGGATAGACACGAGGTACACAATAAACTAGCCACTACCATCCACAGGATATACACGAGGTACACAATAAACTAGCCACTACCATCCACAGGATATACACGAGGTACACAATAAACTAGCCACTACCATCCACAGGATAGACACGAGGTACACAATAAACTAGCCACTACCATCCACAGGATGGACACGAGGTACACAATAAACTAGCCACTACCATCCACAGGGTGGACACGAGGTACACAATAAACTAGCCACTACCATCCACAGGGTGGACACGAGGTACACAATAAACTAGCCACTACCATCCACAGGGTGGACACGAGGTACTCAATAAACCAGCCACTTCTCAGGGACAAATTCAGATCTGAAGATCAACATTGAGATTATCATTGCAAGCTACTGGGCCACACAATACTCATTGCAGTGTTTTCCTCCCACAGTGCAACACTCGCCTGGAAATCCATTGCCGGAGTTTGGAGACGAGATTGGCAATATTACAGTCATCAAGGGACGTGATATTATTTTTACTTGTGTCGTCAAGCACCTGGGACCCTACAAGGTGAGTTGAGACCAGCAGGTCAAGAATCTGGGACCCTACAAGGTGAGTTGAGACCAGCAGGCCAAGAATCTGGGACCCTACAAGGTGAGTTGAGACCAGCAGGTCAAGAATCTGGGACCCTACAAGGTGAGTTGAGACCAGCAGGTCAAGAATCTGGGACCCTACAAGGTGAGTTGAGACCAGCAGGTCAAGAATCTGGGACCCTACAAGGTGAGTTGAACCCACGGGTCAAAAATCGGGCCCCTACAAGGTGATTGAGACCAGCGGGGCCAAAATCTGGACCCTACAAGGGGTTGGGACCGCGGTCAAAAACTGGACCCTAAAGGGGTTGGGACCACAGGTCAAAAAGGGGACCCTACAAGGGATTGAACCACAGGCAAAAACGGGACCCAAAAGGAGTTGAGACCAGCAGCCAAGAATCGGGAAACCTAAAAGGGTGAGTTGAGACCAGCAGGCCAAGAATCTGGACCCTACAAGGTGAGTTGAGACCACAGGTCAAGAATCTGGGACCCTACAAGGTGAGTTGTGACCACAGGTCAAGAATCGGACCCTACAAGGTGAATTGAGACCAGCAGGCCAAGAATCTGGGACCCTACAAGGTGAGTTGAGACCAGCAGGTCAAGAATCTGGGACCCTACAAGGTGAGTTGTGACCAGCAGGCCAAGAATCTGGGACCCTACAAGGTGAGTTGAGACCAGCAGGCCAAGAATCTGGGACCCTACAAGATGAGTTGAGACCAGCAGGTCAAGAATCTGGGACCCTAAAAAGGTGAGTTGTTGACCAGCAGGCCAAGAATCTGGGACCCTACAAGGTGAGTTGAGACCAGCAGGCCAAGAATCTGGGACCCTACAAGGTGAGTTGAGACCAGCAGGCCAAGAATCTGGGACCCTACAAGGTGAGTTGAGACCAGCAGGCCAAGAATCGGGGACCTACAGATAGTTGAGACCACAGTCAAGAACTGGACCCTAAAAGGGTGATTGAACCACAGGCCAAAATCTGGGCCCCTACAAGGTGAGTTGAGACCAGCAGGCCAAGAATCTGGGACCATACAAGGTGAGTTGAGACCAGCAGGCCAAGAATCTGGGACCCTACAAGGTGAGTTGGGACCAGCAGGTCAAGCACCTGGGACCCTACAAGGTGAGTTGGGACCAGCAGGTCAAGTACCTGGGACCCTACAAGGTGAGTTGGGACCAGCAGGTCAAGCACCTGGGACCCTACAAGGTGAGTTGGGACCAGCAGGTCAAGTACCTGGGACCTTGCACTACCTCAGTTCGCCTCGATTGCCAAAACATTTAGGGGCGCACCAGTTCCCTTGTATTCTAAAAATATATTATTTTTTCCTATAATCTACCTTGTCCATAATTACTGTTGCATTTGCCGTATCTGCTTTCGTAAAGTGAAGTCCAGGATCTTTCCTTAATTCATGGTATAACTCAACAAATACATTTAAATTATACCATGAATTAAAAGCTCCTGGACAGTAATTATAAACAAGGTAGACTATAGCGGGAAAATAAACGTGATATTGGGAGACAGGTAAACTCAGGCGCCTGTTAACCATCCCCCCCCTGGATGCCACCCATCACAGCTTAGATTAACCCGCTAACACCACCCGGAAATCGAACCCACGGTCCCTTTTTTAATTTAAAAACCCCCACACAAAACACACAGGGCAAAACCCTCAGCCAGGGGGGTTTAAAAAAAGTGCTAACACAAAAACCCTCTGAGATGATCCTCACACAATTGCTTTGGGCACTTCGGTTGTTTTTTTGCAAATTGCACCGTAATTTCAAGGGGGCCTTGACCCTTCAGGGAGTTTCCCGACCCCCCCGCTGGGGGGTGCAAAAGGAGGGACGGAGGCTGTGAGGGGGGGGGGAAGAGAGGGGAAAAGGGGGGGGTGAGGGAGGGGGTAAAAAGATATATAGTAGCATCAGAAGTAATGTGGAGGCTGAATTGTTGCCTTTTTTGTTGGGCCTCCATAAATTTCCACTAGTATTACCTTTCCCGTATAACTCCCGTATTTTCCCCCCCGTATTACCTCTTTTTATTAAAATTCCCGTGTTACCTTTCCCTATTACCCCCAAATAATTTTCCTCAGTATTACCTTTCCGTATTACCTTTTAGTATTCCCCCAGAATTTCCCCCAGTATTACCTCCAGTATTTCCCCCAGAATTTTCCGGGCCCGTATTACCCCAGTATTGCCTTTCCCGTTTAAAAAAAAACCTCTAGTAAAATTTCCTCCCCGTAATTTCCTCGAGTATTACCCCATATTTCCCCTATTTTGCCCCGGGATTACCTCCAGTATTACCCCTTTGTATTAAACCCCAGTAATTTCCTCCTTTTTTACCCCAGTAAATTTCCGGCCCGAATTACCCCCAGTATTACCTCCATATTAAACCCTCACATTACCTCCATTTTTTTAAAAACCCAGAAATTTCCTCCAGTATTTCCTCCAGTATTACCTCAAGTATTACCCCCCCAAATTTCCCCATTAAATTCCCCAAATATTACCCCCCATATTGCCTTCATTTTTACCCCCATATTACCCTTTCCCAAATTTCCTCCAGTATTACCCCATTATTTCATCCAGTAATTTTCCTCCGTAAATTTCCTCCATAATTTTCCCCAGTTTAAACCCCAGTATTACCCCCCAGCATTACCCCCATTTTAAAACCCCCATATTATCCCCCCGTATTACCTCCAGTAAATTAACCCCCCAGTATTACCTCCGTATTAACTCCAGTTTTACCTCCTTAACATCAAAACCCCCCGTAATTTCTTCCAGTATTAAACCCCCAGTAAATTTCCTCCATTTTTACCCCTAGTATTATCCCCCAACATTTTCTCCAGTATTACCCCCATTTTTTAAACCCCCAGTAATACCCCAGTATTAAACCCCAAGTATTATCCCCCTATTACCTCCAGTATTACCTTAGTATTAAAACCCCCCAAAATTTTCCCCTTTAGTATTACCCCTAGTATTACCTCCAGTAAATTTCCTCCAGTATTACCCCCCCAAATTTTTAAAAATTCCCCGATTATCCCCCCTAAATTTCCCCATTATTTCCCCCAGTATTACCTCCCCTATTACCCCCCAGTATTACCTCCAGCAATTAAAACCCCCATTTACCTCTAGTATTATCCCCCCTAAAAATTACCAAAAAACCCCGTAAACCCCCCTTAAAATTTCCCCTTTTTCCCCCCATAAATTTCCTCCAGTATTCCCTCCAGTATTATCCCCCCGCATTTTCCCCCATTTTTACCTCCCCCGTTTTTAAAAATTTCCCGGAATTTTCCCCCATATTACCTCCATTTTTACCCCCAAGTAATTTCCTCTAGTATTCCCCCCAGTATTTTCCTCCTGTGTTACCTCCAAAATTTCCCCCCCGATTACCTCCAGTATTATCCCCCAGTATTACCTCCAATTTTGCCCCAGGGAATTACCTCCAGTATTTCCTCCCAAATTTCCTCCATATTATTCCCCAGTATTACCCCCGTATTACCTCCAGTATTACCTCCGCATTTCCCCCAGAATTTCCTCCAGTATTACCTCCCCTTAAATTTCCCCCAATATTTCCTCCAAAAATTACCCCCAGTATTACCCCCGTAAATTTAAACCCCCAGAATTTTTCCCCCAGGGATTACCCCCCCCATATTAACCCCCAAATTAAAACCCCCAGTATTATCCCACAGTATTACCTCCAGTATTAAACCCCCATTTTACCTACAGTTTTTTACCTCCATTTCTTTCCCCCCAGTAATTTCCTCCAGAAATTTTTCCCCCCCATATTACCTCCCGTATTATCCCCCCTATTACCCCCCCTAAATTTCCCCCCAGTATTACTCCATATTTTCCCCCAGTATTTCCTCCATAAATTTCCCCCATAAATTTTCCCCCAGTATTACCTCCAATATTACCCCCAGTATTACCTCTAGTATTATCCCAGAAATTTCCCCCCCAGTATTACCTTCCCGTATTACACCCCTTTTTACCCCAGTATTTCCTCCAGTAATACCCCCCAGTAAATTTAAATCCGTATTACCTCCAGTAATTTCCCCCCGTAATTTCCCTCCAGTATTTTCCCCCCCCGTATTACCTCCAGTATTCCCCAGTAAATTTCCCCCCAAATTTACCTCCCCGTAATTTCCTCCAGAATTTCCCCCCCCAGTATTACCCCCCTTTTTACCTCCATATTAAACCCCCATTTTTAAACCCCCATATTTCCCCCCAGTATTACCTCCAGTATTACCCCAGTATTACCTCCAAAATTACCTTTCCCGTAAATTTCCCCCCAGTACTACCTCCAGTATTACCCTCCCCCGTTTACCTCCATTTTTACCCCCCCTAAATTTCCCCCCCCCCAGTAAAAACCTCCAAAATTAAACCTCCATTTTTACCCCCCGTATTTCCTCCCGGAAAATTAAACCCCCCCATTACCTTTCCCTTTTTTCCTCCAGTATTACCCCCCGTATTACCCTTTAGTTTACCCCGGGATTACCTTTCCCGTATTAAACCCCCAGTAAAAATTTCCCCCCAATTTTTTACCTCCAGTTTACCCCCAGTATTACCTCCAGTATTTTCCTCCATTTTTACCCCCATTATTACCTCCATTTTTTAACCTCCAGTAATTTCCCCATTTTTACCCCCCAGAATTTTTCCCCAGTATTACCTCCTTTTTACCCCAGTATTTCCTCCATAATTTCCCCCCGTATTACTTCCAGTATTACCCCCCCGTATTAAAACCCCCAGTATTACCCCCAGTATTACCTTTCCCGTATTTAAACCCCCATATTACCCCCAGAAATTTCCTCCAGTAATTTCCCCCCCCATTACCTCCAGTATTACCTCCCGAAATTAAACCCCCAATTAAAAACCCCCATATTTTCCTCAAGTACTTTCCCCGCCCGATTACTCCAGTATTTCCCCCCATAATTTCCCCCCAGTATTACCTCCCCGTAAATTTCCTTTCCCTTTTTACCTCCCCGTAAATTTCCCCCC